GGTTGTGATGGAGTTAATTTGGTGGCCTTAGGGTGGTTAGGTCACATTTAGTGTATGGGTCCAAGTGGGTGCAAATGACCAAAACTTGGGTTTGGGCTAGGTTAGCCATGTCAATTGGCCCAAATAATTATTGCATTTGGTGTAGATGATCATAAGGAACAACTTTGGTGAAGGATGGAAATGGTTTTGAGTTCAATAGAAAGGTCAATTTGAAGGAATTTTGAACCTTAATCAATTTGGTCATGTTGGGCTAGGCTTGGGTCTAGCTTGGGTTGGCCTTGGGCTAAGTATAAATTGATTATTCTAAATGGTCAATAGGGACTTCATGAAGAGTTTTCAACATGAATTGGATGCCAATTTGGAGGTTCAGTCAATCAATTGGGTGAAATTTATGGACTTAGCCAAGTTGGGGCTAAATTTGGGAATTTTGGATTTAGGCAAAAATAAAATGGATTTGAGGCTTCACCAATGTCAATTGATGGTTGATTTTGATGTTTATGAATGCCATAAATATTTTTAAACATTAATTGAAGCCAATTGATTAGGCTATGGGTTCAATTTGGTGAGATTAGGTCATATGGTCAAAATTGGGGCTTTGACCCAAATCAAAATTGGACTCAATCAATGGACTAATTGAGCTTGGATTTCGTTTATTTTGGTCAAATAAAAAGTGAATTTGAGTTTGGGATTGGAATTGGGGTCATTTGACATCAAATTGGTGGACAATTGAGTTGGACTTGGGGAAATTTGAGTCTTTAAAGGGCAATTTGGGGATTTTGGTTAAGGATGGTCAAATTGGCCAAATTGGGTCATATGGTAGTTGAGTGAAATGAAATTGGGAACATTTAGGATTTATTGGGATTTTCTGGGAATTTTTGGCTGGGAATTTTTGTCTGGGAATTTTTGGAATTTTTAGAATTTTGGGTCAAAGAGGGTTATTTTGGTAATTAGGGGTTGCTTTAGGGGTAAAAGGCCAAGATGGGTATTTTGGTAGAGTTGAGGTACCAATCATCACCAATAAGCAATGGACCAAAGGAAACCCCATTTTGGGTCCTCTGGGTCCTCTACTTAGCCAAACCATAGCCCTAGGGCTAGTAGGTTTAGGGGACCATCATCCGAAAGATAAACAAATTTAATTCTTAAAGAGAGTTGGACAAACCAAGGGCCAAAACAAGCAGCCTGCAATCTCTTAATTCCTAGATAAGTGTAGTGACTACCTTAGCTCTAGACCAACACTCAAGGTTAACTCTATGGTCCAGCAATCCTAAGGGTGACTCATCTTGAGTTTCCCCCATAGTAACCCCACCTACTAAGTGTTTAGAGGTTAGGACCAATATGTGGAACTTCAAGTTGAGTGGAGAAGAGGGTAGAATTTCTAATGGTGAGAGTGCTATGTCTAGTTTTCTAGGAATAGTCAACAGGAAAAGTCCTATGGTTAGACCCTAGGCTACTAAAGAGGAAAAACTAAACCTAAACAAAAAATGAGGTCAACAGTTGTACCAGCTGTCATTGACCAAACTTCTATCAAGTCTTTCCCAAATTTTTCCTCTCTTCCAAGTAAAAGCAGGTCCCTTGAATCCCAAATCAAACAGCCCAACACTATGGATATTATAATTAAAAGTATTCATTTTAGCATGATTAGGGGCTCTACCCCTAATTTTTTCATTTGGAGAAGCAATGCAGTTAATGTCTCCCCACACAATCCAGGGAGAATCCATTAGCTGGTCGATATTCAACAAGCAACTCCACAACTCCTTTCTATCTTCCTTAGTACAACCTGCATAAAAAAAAGTAGCATAGCCCAAATGTCCATTTATATTGAACTTGAAATGGACAAATTGTTGATGATCAACAATGATGTTCCATCTTATTTCCTTTCTACATAAAATCCAAATTTTATTATTGGTAGTGGCAAAATTAATGAAATCAGGGAATTTTTTTATAAGCTTTTGATGGTTCTTGTGAACCATAGGCTCAAGAATCACAATGCACCAAAGTTTATATTTATAATTTAAATGTAAAACTCTTTTAAGAGAAAGGGGATTGGTTATTCCCTTAATGTTCCAGCAAAGGATATTAATCATTTGATGGATTGATTTGGAGGGATGGTTGTGATCTTGATCTGGTTCTGCCTCTGTGATGGTGGGGAGAACCAATCTTAGTTTTGGCTTTACTCTCATCTTGGGTGAAGTTTCCTTGCTGTAGTTTTTGTACTTCAGTTACCTGTTTTCTTTCCTTTCTAGCTGTTTGTACCTGCCAATCATCTTCTATTGCCTGCCGAATGCCAGCAATAACTGATCCTCAGGAGCCTTGCCATGAATGTCTGTCTGTCCTTCCTCATGAGGGGAAGGTGAAGGAGTGATTATAGTAATTTCTTGGATTTCCTTTCTAACTATTTTGATTGGAGAAGTCCCTGTGTTTCTGTTTGTGGGGGAAACTTCTGATGACTCACCTAAAGGATCCTCTGATGAAGAGTTTGCTTTAATGGTTGGGAGTGTTTCCTCAATTCTTTGGGTGTTATCCTTCCTGTTATGCAGATGTATTTCTTCAGCAAAGTTTTCCATGGCGTTCAATGAGGTGTTTCTTGTTTCCTTATGATCCCTGCCAGCATTTCTTTTGGTTGGTGGATATAATCTATAGCACTTTTCCACTGTGTGGCCAAACATTTTGCAATGTTGGCAATAGTAGGGTTTTTGTTCAGGGACAATGACCTGCCAAAATTCTTGGGTGAAGTTTCCTTGCTGTAGTTTTTGTACTTCAGTTACCTGTTTTCTTTTCTTTCTAGTTGTTTGTACCTGCCAATCATCTTCTATTGCCTGCCGAATGCCAGCAATAACTGATCCTCAGGAGCCTTGCCATGAATGTCTGTCTGTCCTTCCTCATGAGGGGAAGGTGAAGGAGTGATTATAGTAATTTCTTGGATTTCCTTTCTAACTATTTTGATTGGAGAAGTCCCTGTGTTTCTGTTTGTGGGGGAAACTTCTGATGACTCACCTAAAGGATCCTCTGATGAAGAGTTTGCTTTAATGGTTGGGAGTGTTTCCTCAATTCTTTGGGTGTTATCCTTCCTGTTATGCAGATGTATTTCTTCAGCAAAGTTTTCCATGGCGTTCAATGAGGTGTTTCTTGTTTCCTTATGATCCCTGCCAGCATTTCTTTTGGTTGGTGGATATAATCTATAGCACTTTTCCACTGTGTGGCCAAACATTTTGCAATGTTGGCAATAGTAGGGTTTTTGTTCAGGGACAATGACCTGCCAAAATCCATCAGTATCTGAGCCAATCCAGATTCTTTTCAATTCAGGGAAGGTGATGTCTCTATCCACTTGTATTCTGGCTAGTGCTGGCCTGAATTTATTATAAGTAGGGGCATCCACTTTTAAAGGTGTGCCCAAGGCTCTTCCTATGTTAAACAAGGCATTCATCTTAAACAAAGGAAGTCGAAGACTTGAAAACTTGTACCAAATAGGAACCATAGGTGGTTCTTTACTTGGATCAAAGTCAGGAGTCCACTTAACAATTTTCATAGTAGCTCCAGCAATAATTACTGATTTTTTTGCAAAAGTCTTGCATAATCTTCTTCAACAGCTAATTCTAAAAAGACTGAGGTTGCCGTCAACCCCCCACCACCTATCCATTATCTGCAGCAAGGATATATTCCGGAAGTACCCTACTTCAGAATTCCATATTTGGACACATGACTACCTTTGGTGTAGACGCAATTTTACATTTCGTTTCTTCCTTTGTTGAGTCATTGTATTTTCCTCTTTTTGGGAGTGTTTCCTAGTTTTTGGGGGAGCTCTTGGGTTCATTTATTGAACCAAAAACGAGTCCCCTGTTTCCTCTCTTCTGCATGTACTAGCATATTACTCTAACATGTAGGGAGTCAAAAGCAACTCCTTCACCATTAATATATATTTATATACATACTAGAAAAACAAAGAGAAAGAAAAGTAAAGATTTAACTCAAGTAAAGGGTATTAAAGATAAAAATAAAAAAAGTGCTTTTCTTAGAAAAAGATATTCAAAAAAGGTGGGTGAGTTATTTTGATGAACTTTTTAATGATGTTTATGAAAATATGATCAACCTTAGTGATCTTAATGATTAAATAAACTAGAGAATATATGACATACATTTAATCTATGAAACCATTTTATTTGCCGACAAGTTCCCCTATTTAATATGAAGAATTAAACAGAGTTTATATTAAGCTGGGTTCAGACATGCTTCCTATCAGGGCAAGTCATTATAGTTAATTACATCTTAGATAACCAAAGTCACCAAAGAAAACTCTTAATAAAAATCAGGAAATATTTTCTTTAAAGAGGTCAAAGATAGGACTTTTCAATGAAATTGGACAAAGAGGTGTAAAATGAGAATGAACCAAAGTAGAATCCAAAGGAGGAAGAACTAGAGAATGTCATAGATCAGGAGGAGAACCTCAGTGACTTTCCAGTCTATCCTAATGTTTGGCATCAGTTTTAAGGAGATATATTTAAGCATTTCATCCAGCCAATTTTATTAGTTAAGGCTTACATTTGTGTGAAACGATGACACAAATACCCTGAAATATGTGAGGGTTTAGGTCGTGAAGAACAACAACCTCATAATCCTAAAATGAGTTAGGGCTTAGATTGTACAACAGAGTTGTACAAAAGCCTAAGGATGAGGTGACGATTTATGTTGCATAAGAAGACAATCCCGAAATCCTATGGCTTTGTTGTTCAATTCTAAGGAAGGAATGGTTTAGCTGGGGAAGATATGTTTTGCTATTTAAGATGGTCGTGCTGCCCACCATGCTAGCTCCAAGCTCCTTGTCGTGACGAGTTCAATTTTTCTAAGGTGTCACGTCATGATGTCAAATCAAATGGCCATATAGTTATGGTCATTAAAATATTATGGGGCATATTAAAATTGATTAGAGTGACACCGGTTAGGATCCAACAGTTCCCTCGTTTCGATACCACTTTTTTCTATTGGATTCACTTAGTCTAAATGAATTTACTAAACTCAACTTAATGAGTTCCATATTTTCATTTAGACTGTTGGAAGCCTCGTTAGCAACCGTAGGTTACCTCCTCCGAGGGATTCCCGATCATCCGATATAGACGTCTCAATTTAGTTGCAATTGTGATTTTGTGATGTTTGTGATTAAATTTTGAGTTCTCATAAATTTTGAATGTTGTGGCGGTGAATTTTATCTTGGTTGATTTTAGTTTTGATTTTGGGTTATCCTCAAATGGTTTGAAATGATTTTTGAACAAATTTGGATATTTTGGGTGAATTTGAGGATTTTGACCAAATTTACGGTTTCAAGGGCATTTAGGTAATTGGGTGGATTTGGGGACAAAAGGCCAAGTTGGATTTTTTTGGTATAATTCTTTGGTAGAATTGCGGTACCAACCACCTTATATGAGCTATGGACCAATGAAATCCCCATTTGGGTCCTCCATGTACTGGTCTTAGCTAAACCCTAGCCTAAAGCTAGTGGGTACCATCTACATGAGTTTTCAAAAAGATCAAGGGATGAAAGTCAACAATTTTGGGTTTAGGGTTGTGGGTGATTGTGAGGGAGAGTGAGTGTAAGCGAGTGAACTAGTTCCAGACCAACATCCAGTGTCAACCCTAAGGTCAAGCAGTCCTATGGGAACACTCCTGAGCTCCCCCATAATGACCCCACCTACTAAGTGCTAGAGGTTAGGGCCAATATGTATAACTTCAAGTTGAGCAGAAGGGAGGGTAGAATTTCTAATGGTGAGGGTTCCTTTTCTAGTTTTATAGGAATAGTAACCAGGAAAGTCCTATGACTAGACCCAAGGTTAATAAAGAGGAAAAAACTAAACCTCAACCAAAAGTGAGGTCAATAAGAGTATAAGAAAATATATATAATGGGAAGCTTGAGGAGAAGAGTTATCAAAAACTAGTTTAACTAAGCATATTTAAATTATCAACTCCTGTATATTCTTAAGTTTATTGATGTTTAAGAAGTATTAGTATAAAATTTTAAGGGAGTGTTTAAATTTTATTTATTTTCCATCTAGGGTATTTTATTTCACATTTACTAATTTTTTTAATTAAAAATAAATTTAATTTTTTTTTGGCCCGAATGAAAGATTTTTTATACATTTAAATTGGACTTATTTGTTAATGAGTTATATTTTCATCGTAAGGAATCTCTTAGTGTTACTTGGGACAACTAACCTTTATGTTTATGGGATTTTGATGTGTAGAAAAGTAAGATAATATTTCCTTATGATGTACACATTTTTAAGGATTACATTGCACTTTAAAATATTTATTTTTTTTTTATTGCAGGTACAACATGTAATGCAAGTGAGGAAATGTGGAGGGTACTTGGAACAAAAGATCATATTAAGGACTAGCCCTTAGGCACCAGACTCTAGGGAGCTTAGAAGCCAGTCACTTACTTGGAAAACCCGATAGGTTGGCCCCTAAGTGTCAACAACTGTGCACCTAGGCGCCGCAATACTGGCCCCTAGCCGTCGAAAAAATGAGCACCTAGGCGCCCATACCATCTGCAACATACAAGGAGATTGGCGCTTAGGAACCAGCCTCTAAGTGTTCGCAATTTCTTGGAGTTGTTTTGACAGTTTAGGAAGCTCGTTGTAGGGAGTTTCTTAGGACGACGTAGATTGATTTTCATTCGGACTGATAGAGTCTATAAATAGCAATGTGTTAAGGACTTACGAGGTTGTCGAACATTAGTGAGGATTGATGTAGGTAGGACTTATGATTGATGAGGGTTGGACATTTCGGAGTTTATTTTGCAGTAAAGTTTCTTCTTCTTCTTCTGATACAATGGATAGGAAGCGTCTTTAGCAGCAACAACCTAGTAGTCAGGAGGAGCATTAATTGGGCATCTTTAGGTTATTGTATAGGAGAAGAATAAAGCTTTTATTGTGTCTTGTTGTTGTGTTTCTATTTTAAACATTGGATAGGAGATTTCTCTTGTTTCAATTAATGTGTGTCGTGTTTTTTTCTATTATTTATTGAGTGGATTCCTTTTCCTTACCTTCTGATGATTAAGTACTATGTATAGGATATGAAAAGTGCTTTTAAATTACTTTTATTTTTTAGGTTTGATAATTAAAAATCAGATCTCCATTTTCTTTTCAATAATGCCATGTGAAATGCTAAAAATTTGCTCTGATTCATAATAATTTGGGAAAGCTATGGTAGAATCAGCTAGGTTAGTCACATTAAACTATGGGGTATAGGTTGATATGTCTTATAAGGAGATGCAAAATGTTAGGGAAAAATGCTTCGACGAGTTAGTTACAGAATTTAAGGAGTTAAACTTATTTTAACCATTTTTTTATGCACTTAAGAGAGGATAAATAATTGTGTTGCTCCTATTTGTCCCTACACTTTTCCAATTTGCACTTTGCTTTTCCTGTAATCCACTTACATCATGACAATGGACGGTATCTTAGGATTTTTATATTCATCAATCCAAATCACGTTAAGTCGGACTAGTTGTATAGGATTTAAATTTGTTATTTGTTGTGACAAAGTAGGTCAGATTATTGAATTGAAACTATTTAAACTATTCAGGCTAGTACTTAAATCAGTAAGCTAGAACTTTTCCTACAACTAATTCCCTCGCTCTCTGTGGGATCGGCATTGCAGACTCTAAACTCTGATATTGCTAATACGACACATGCTCTTGCGTGAGCCCCCAGAGTTTGATTGCACCTGGTAGCGGGTATCAAGATCACATCATATATTTGGTCACATATAGTCCCCCATGTATACCGATTTACATATAGGAGTTAAGTCAAGGTAATTATAAATGTAGCGAGTGCATCTGACTTTTTGTTTTTTGTGCTAGACAGGAAGTTCGGACGAGAACACTTTTTAAGCTCTTCTAAAGAGAATCAAAGCCAAAAGGCATGTTCTGCGAATGAGTGTTTGAGTTTCTTAAGCGAGCAATCGTTTCTAATTGTCAAGAATGAATGTTTGAGTTTCTTAAGCGAGCAATCGTTTCTAATGGTCAACAAAATAAGTCATTGCTCAAGTTCAGCAGCTCATTATTGAGGGCCCATGGAAGTTGTTTGGTTAGCAGACTTGGAAAAGATCCGGTTCAAGGTAATCAAAGATTTCAGGTTACTTGGAGGAACAACGGCCCGTTATATGTTGTCAGTGTTCAAAATTGGTTCACACCTAGCTGCTTGTTGAACTCAATTCAAGCTCTGTTAGAGACTTTATTGACTTAACCTACGCGAATAGAGGTGTACAATACGATAATTGTTTTGATTAATCTTCAATAATTCCTCAAAAGATATTAAAATTTTTCTTTCCCCTCAAATCTTACAAATAATGATTTTCTGCTGCAGCTCCACTTCATGCTTGTCGTCTATTAAAATAATCCAGTACTCGTCACAATTCAGCAAAAATTTCTTCGGTAGCAGACAACAACAGACAAAAATTAGATACGCAGCAGCTAGATCATGGATAGTATTGATTTTTTTTACAGTAAAGCAAGATAGATGTGCCTTAATCTTT